ACAACGACACAACCACCACACCCGCCACCACCAACGGTAACCACTCCGGCGTCCAGCCGCGAGCATCGCTCACGGCGAGAACCCAGTGGTTCGCCATCGTGTCGATGTGTACGAACACGGGGTCCGGACCCAGATTGCCGCCGCATGCCGCAATGGATCGGTTAATGTACGACACGGGGTCAATGTACGTCATGTTGAAGGATAGGTTGTCTCGTTCGCACAGATCGTACATTCTCGTAATATTGCGGATGAGCATCTCCCAGTCCACCTGGGATCGGACGGGTTGGGGGGGGATGGAGGGGGAAGGGGGAAAGGGGAAAAAACACGTAATATAACAATTTGTAAGATTTTAAAACATTCCAATGTTTATAAGAAAAAATCTAGCTGCCGACTCCTCCAAAGGAGGAGGATGGGAAAGGATAGCATCCTTTTGTCGTACACACTTGTAAAAACGAAACCCCAATTTCCAATGTGCGCTAGAGAGGAGAGGGAAGAGAGACGAAGTTAGGAGGTTAGGAACGCGAAACAAAGAAGGCCTTCATCAACTCGCTTTAAGCCAAACCGCCAATTTGGTCATATCATGTTTTAATGATCTGAGCGGCGACCACTGTATGTATGTATGTATGTATGTATGTATGTATGTATGTATGTATGTATGTATGTATGTATGTATGTATGTATGTATGTATGTATGTATGTATGTATGTATGTATGTATGTATGTATGTATGTATGTATGTATGTATGTATGTATGTATGTATGTATGTATGTGTGTGTGTAAGAAGGGGGAAGCATAATTGCGCATAATGGAAAAACACACCGATAAGTTATCAGTTACTAGTTATCGGTTAGAGGCTGCAGCTGGACGACGATGCCCCCACAATATTCCCGCCAATTTACTCTTTTAAAACCCTAAAACCCAGCTGGCTCACACTCACATTCAGCTGCGCAAAACCCCAAAACCTCTTCCCCACTGCTGCGCTGTTATTATCAATGCTACTGCCGGTTCCGGATTGTGACGGCGGCTGGTAGCAGGGGGTGCAGTTGTATGCGGAGCCGTTGAATCCAAACGTCTCGTCGGGTCCGGCCCCGGAGATGAACACCGCATAACGTGTGACGATACCCATCATGCCGGCACGCAGCCTGTGGCCAGGAAGGGGGTAGAGGGTAGGGGGTAGGGGGATATTATTTAGGGGGAAAAGCATTATATTCCGAAAGCAAAGGTGCCAAAATAATCGCCAAAAAAAGGGCGGGTAATAATAATAATAATAATAATAATAATAATAATAATAATAATAATAATAATAATAATAATAATAATAATAATAATAATAATAATAATAATAATAATAATAATAATAATAATAATGGTATGGTATCAGGAATCAGGGGCACAGGTTTTGTGGAGGAAAAGGGAGAGGGGGACATGTCTGTCACCATGGCGCATGCGGAGAGCTGACGTGTTGGGTTTTGTTTTCGACACGCTGTCCGTTCCCCCCTCACCTCCACCCTTTCACCCCTTACCCCTCCCCCACTTAC